CCACATCATCATGATCCACTCGAGCCGGGGGCCTAGTCCCTAGGTGCAAACCCCAACCAAACAACAGGGGGCCCCCCAAAACCCCGGAAAGTCAACCCCGAAACGGAGGAAACGGGGGAAAAAGGGGGACCCAGGGAGCCGCCCCGAAAAGGGAAAACCAAACAAGAGAGGGGAACCAAGGCGCACCCCGGATCAGCCCAAGCCGCGCCAATTTTCCTCGCCTGGTGCAAGTCTGGGCCTGCGCTGTTCCCTGGGGGGGGATATCAGCGCCTTCGGCAGCTGTCCCTTTTGCGGGGTGCGCTGCGCATCCGTTCCGGATGGCCGCGGTCCTGGATGGTGTGCCGGAAGATGGCGTTGTCCCGCATCATCACGCGGCCCCCTTCGCGATGTCATCGATGCGCTTGAGCGCAGCAGCCTCCGGATTCCGCAGAATCAGCTCCCAGATGGCATTGGAGACGTGGCCTGTCTGGGTGGTCTGGCTGAATCTGAACCTGGGCACCTTCTGGTCCACGATGGAGACGTCCCGCAACGGGGCCGAGGGCTCCACCCGGCGGTAGTACTCCAGCCGCTCCTTCACCCAGCGGTTGTAGAGGCCCTCCGGCGGCTCGTCCAACACCAGCTGCAAGATGGCCTTGCCGGCCCGGATCTGGAGGAGGCGGGTGCCCCCTCCCCCGGCACGCCAGTACCCCTTACAATACTTGCACATGTAGCCCCCCCGGGTCTCCCCTTTTGTCTTCGGGATGAGTTCCCACGGGGTGACGGAGCTCAGGACCAGGCCACACTCCATGTGCGCCCAGAAGACATGCTTCATCTCCACCGGATAGTTCTTCTTCCGGTAGTCCTTACCCACCACGCCGTGGACGTTGTCCGCCGTGATGGGGGGGTAAACGATCCCCTCATCGCCCTCGCCTCCCCTGGGGCGGATGTCAGGGCCATCGGCACCTGTCCGGCACCCAGGGGCGGAGGGGTCCAGGCCCATCAGCTTGATCATGTCGTTGGTGTAGCCGAGCTTGCGGTAGATGGAGGGGGCCACTGAGTCGGGGACTGCGCCGACCCACCACTGCTTCGTGTTGCAGCGCCAGTTGACCTTCACCTCCGCCAGGGCCCCCGGGCCTCCAATGCGGTCCATGAGGGCCTTGTACACCTCTGGGAACTGCTGGAGGCTCTCCACCGGGACCGAGATGCGCTCGTCGCATACCGCCCGCAGGATCATCTGCTCCTTGGAGTCCGCCACGTCCTGGACCGGGAGCTGCATCACCTCCGCCGGGGTGTCCGTGAGGAAGGCCCGGGCCGCGAGGACCTTGCCCATGGCCCGGTAGACCAATCGCCACTCCGGTCCTGTCTGCGGAAACGGAAGGCCCTCCTCCTTCAGGAAGCACCGCGCATCCTCCTTCAGGGTCTCCCAGCCGTCCAGGCGGGTCTGATTCTGGGCCTTGTTTTTCGGGCCCCGCTGCCTAGGGCCCTGCAGCAGTGGCAGAGACTCCCAGACTCCCCAGAGCTGGTGCAGGGTGTAGCTGTGCCCGAACATCCCCAGTAGGCCTGGGAGTGTCCAGGACGAGATCTGGCGCGTCCAGTGGAAGTCCTCATCCGGATCGTGGGGGGCAGCCCAAAAGATGGATCGCAGGTCCCCAGGGTAGGGTCGGTCCCCCGCCTTCGCCTGCTGGTTCAACTCATCAACGGAGTACCTGGCCCAGGGGAGTCCACCCACCTGGTGGTTCCTGGGATGCGTACCCTTCTCCAACGCCTCCGGATTCACCTTGGTGAGGTTTTTCGCCCAATCCGGGACGTGTACCGGGCCCGGTCGTCGGACCCAGCGGCCCGCAAAGATACGGACCTCTCCGACCCGTTTGCTCATCATCCAGCGCAGGACCGAGAGCTGCACCTCCGGATCCTTGGTGTCCAGGCCCGGGGTGGCGGACGGCTTGTCAGGGCCCTCGGCACCTGAGCTCGTCACGCCAGAGCCCGAGGCTGGGGGGATGGTGGGCGGCCTGTCAGGGCCCTCAGCACCTGGGCGCGCCGCACCACCGCCTTTGGCATGGGGATCCCTGTCAGGTCCGGCAGATCTGACAGGAGGGCCGCCGGGAAGGGATTCCTACCCAGCGAGATGACCGCCTTGGCCTCAAGGTAGGAGTCCGTGAGGGATGTGAGGTCGTCCATACTGAAGTCCCTCCATGCCGTTGTCGGCTCGAAGACCCCAGTCTCAATGGCGACCCGGACCTCACTAGGCCACGCACTGAAGGGAGGCGCGATGGGCTCGAGCATTCTGGTTTCGAGGGAGCCCTTCGCCTGTCTGGCTTGGTGTTTCGCTTTCGCCTCCTCCGCAGTGGTCTGGGCCTGGAGGAGCTCCGGTGTGGGTCTCCCCCAGTCCGCACCCAGCTTGTCCAGCAGCTTCTCACGGAAGAGGTCCAAGTCCAGGTTCTTCAGGAGCAGGCCTCCATCACCTCCTCCGTCAATGGCCCCCCCTTGAAGTTCGTGGAGGACCGCCGCGGAGCGCTCCACCGCTTCCACCTGGTCCGCCTTCTTGGCCTCCTCCTGGGCGATGGTGGTGGCGTTGAGCCGGGTCTGAATCTTGAAGGCCTTCACCGCAGACGGGTGGAAGGCTCTGCATTCCTGGCCCTCTTCCTTGTCGCCTGGCAATGGGGGCCTCTCCCCCGGTGGGGCCGTCAGAAACTCCTCGTCCAGCTCCATGGGGCAGTTCCTGATCACCGCCCGGACCGAGGAGGGGACGAAGTCCGAGAAGCTGGCCTGGTCCGGGTTCTCGCAGGCCATCGGGTCGGTGGCCAGCTCGCTGACGTCCACCGAGGCACTGAGCTTGAGGTCGCGGGCCCGGTCCGTGTCAGGGCCTTCGGCACCCGCGGACCGGGCCGCCGTCCAGACCGCATTGCCCTGGTCATCCACCGTCAACTGCCAATGCGTGCCCGCCATCTCCAGGGTGGCCGAGTTGGTCGCCGTGTCAATGGGCTCCGTCTTCTTGCCGCACCCCATGCACTTCGTGGCGCCCTTCTTCACCCAGGGCATGGTGCAGCAGGGGCAGATCCAGGATGTGGGCACCTTGCCCAGGGGGCGGTTCTCCAGGCCCCCGTACCCCAAGCCAGCGCGCTTGCCAACCTGCTGTCCCGGGGTGCTGAGCCGGGCCTCATGCTCGTACTTCATCTTGGCGATGTAGAAGGCCTCCACAACGCGCTCCAGGCCCCCCTGCTTGAGTTGGGGGCCCTCAAAGCCTCGCAGGAGCCGCTGGACGTCCTTGGCCTGCAGTCGGCGGAGCCTAGTGGCCGTGGTCGCATCGAAGCAAGGGAAGTCGCCCGCCATCTGGTCGTCGCTGAACTGGTAGAGGCCCTCCGAGACCTTGAGGGCCTTGGTGAACACGCTCCCCCCCGGCGGGGGGGCTGCGGGGTTCTCATCCTCCTCCGAGGACGCCTGCTCCTTGACCTTCGCCATCAGCTCCCGGCGCCTCTGCCACTTGGCGTCTGCCCGGGCATCCAGGCGGGCCTCCTCCAAGCGGGCTGCAGCCGAGGGGAACCTGGGCATCGGCAGCTCCTTCTCGTCCTTCGCCAGGAGCTCCTCCATGGGCACGTCCTCCTCCGGCGGGTTCAGGAGCTCCAGGAACGCCCCTGGGGGGCGTGTCAGGGCCTTCGGCACCTGCGCCACCCCAGGGGCTGCATCTTCCATCGGCTCATCCTCTGCCTTGCGCTTGGCCGGGATAAGGGGGGCCTGCTCCAGCTCATCTGCGCTGGAGAAGAAACGCTCGTCAGGTGCCTGAGGGACCTCAGCAGCCAAAACGGTCCATCCTTCTTCCTCCCTCTTTACGAGGCTCGCCAGGTACTTTGCCATGGAGGCCTTTGCCTTAGCCTTGGCCTCTGCTACCGCGGCACCAGCGTAGGCGGGGGCGTACATGGCTTTGAGAGTAGGGGAAAGAAAGATTTCAAATCACAAGACAAAAGATCAAAAGGTCCACTTGAGCCAAAATGGTGGCCCAAGTGGATACTTATTAAGAGTCAAGACAAGCGACCACCTACGGTTAACGCTTTAGCCCATTGATCTTGCCACCCATCGCTGAAAGTTTGAAGCACGAGGCGCCAACCAGCAGTAAGCATGACAATTTGGGTTGTAGGGTTTAGGTTGTTTAGGGTTTGTGGATTTTAAAGCTTCAACGTTGCAATAGCTGCAAGTCGACAAAGGCACACTTGAGAGAAGGAGCCTTGCTCGGGGGGAGCAAGCACGGAGCTTGGGCGGCCTCGCGAGGATGACGGAAGCGCGTTTCTACTGCACCTGCAAGATTTGGAGTGGTTCCGAAAACTCGCTCGCGGACGTCCGCGGGCAACACCTACGTTTGGCCGCAGTGGTTCAATTTCCGAGGACTCCTAGAGCAATGCTTGCGCACAAACACGCACATCACGCTGACAACTCATACATGTCATGCTGCCACTGCGCACTTGCAACCAAAAATCCTGCAAACGAACAGCTGAGCGGTAGGTGGTAGGACGAGGAACGAGGAAGAGCCACTCCTTTACATGTTTCCCCCTCTCTTTTATTGATCTTTTCTGTCGTAACAGTATTATTTCTTTCTCATATTTAATCTGTAATTATAAAATGTAGGAAGACAAAGGAAATGGAGCAGGGATCCAACAATGAAAACATTTGGCATCCAATGGACGCAAAGAGGAGAGATCATCTTCGGGTTGCCATACTGAAGACCAAACATTGAGACCAGGTCAACTGATCTTGACTAGCTTTGATCAGTTGTTTGGGGTTTCCAAATACATCCGGCTGCCTCAAATCTTTCAGCCGGAACAAACCAAACTGGCTACAACCTTTCAAGGCTAGGTCCCCCAGTAGAGAGGCTTGAATAAGTTGGTACCAACTTTTTCTGTAGTCTATTGTAGTAGGGTCCCGAACCCGCTCAACCCAAAAGGGGGTGAGTAAGGGCTGCCCCAAAAAAGTGTCCAAGGGAGCTGAAAAGCCCTGGCGCATCGCGACCCCCGAGACCCGAGGGTTCCGACAGCATCAGCTGCTCCCGGTCCGGCGGGAACGGCATCACGGACGGGAACTTCCGATCCGGCAGGATCTGGGCACCGCGAAAGACGCCGACGGATTCAGGGCACGGTTCTTGGAAAGGAGGGGTGTTTGGGCAACGTGCTTTTTGGGTTGGTCCTTTCCCCCCTCCCCAAAACATGGGGATGGTTGGTTTGTTCCTGTTGGAATCCTATTTAAACAAAGCTCAATGTATTGTGTTTTTGTCTCTCTTTTTTTTCCGGAGGGAAGCACCCAGTGATTCGCTTCGGACTGATGTGTGTTTGTCACTTTTGGGGAATGTGGGAAGCCTTTTGAGTTGTATACAAAAAGTTTGGTATGATGTTTGTTTGGCCAATCCACGGCTTGCAGCGGTTTCTGCGGCCTTCTGCACCCTCGTCCCTTTGGCGATGAATCCTTTCTATCATCATCTTTCCCCGATGAAATTTTCCACTTAGGCATCCAACACTTTCTCCTTTTCGGAAACAAATTTGGTCTCTCCCATGATTGCCTCCGAAAGCGGCGAACGGAATCACAGTAAGGGGGAAACGTGTCAGATACTCGAAAAAGCGTCATTTTTGCAGGTTTGCCCCAGAGGAGACCAACCAAGCACACAAAGAAGAACTCCTCAGTGCCTGAAACCCAATACAGGAGTGCACGAAGGTAAGAAGCGGGCTGAGAAAGTGAGGCCTGACGGTCATATGCCTCTTTAAGGATCTTGCTGCCATGAGCATGGAAGATGGACATGGTTTCTTCCACCACAAATGGCCAATATCTAGCGTGTACCCAACACCCGTACCCAACTTGATCAGCCAGCTTTGACACTCTTAAGATTTATTAATTAAGATGTTCCCAACAACGAGTTCCTTTGAAGAGACCTGTTTGATGGATTGTGAACGACCATTGGCAAATGGTTGTTTCAGGCCGGGGCAAATTTCTGGTACACCCCCCCTCCCCCGCAGGTCGTTCACGTGTCTCTCTCCAGACTCCCGTGACCATGACGCGAAGCTCGGGCCCTTTTGAGCAATGGGCGAAAATTTTGGTCACTCGAAGGGGCTCCAGAATTTCCGCAAAAAACACAAAATGGTCTAATTTTGGTAGACCCTCGAAAAGGTTCCAGAATATCTCCGCAAAAGAAAAACAAAAAAAAACAGCGGCCGAAAGGCGAACATTTTGTCGGCAAGGCCCTCCGTCAAATGACCAAAAAATCTCCAGGCCCGCAGCCTCGGGGTCGTTGGTGAACTTTCCTGGAGAGTCAGTGGCACAGCCGACTTGGGCCGACTTGGGGCACATCCCCCAAGAGGGTTCCGCGTGCTCGGATTTTAAACCTTCCCCCAAGAACACGTCGAAACTGGGCTGCAAGGAGTGAGGTTGAACATGGCTCAGGCTCATGAAAGGCCTTTTTGGAGAGGGCCTCTTGGAGGAACCCCTGGTCTCTCATGGTGAACAAGAGGGTCAACGCCTCCTTGAAAGAGAAAAAGCCGCAGCCCTCCTGAAACTGGGGGTCGATTCGGCAGCTCCGTGTTCTGTTCTTTTTTGGTCAGACTCCTTGCGAGAGATATCTGAAGCCAGTCGGATACTGATAGCTGACCATCTCTGCAAGCAAGTGCGAGAAAGAAACCACAAGAGGGAAAACAAACAATTGGAAGAGGTTTTCCAAATTGTCACCATGGTTCAACTCAGGGCTTGCAAGGGACATCGCTTCGCTCCTTCGCCAGTTGCCCTGCGATGGTCAAACTGACTCAAACTCCTCACAAGGGAATCGACATATTGCCAGGGTTGACAAATTAGGTCCTCCAGTACAGAGGTTGGGAACCCTCCCCCAAAAAAGGTAAAAGGGCACTACCGGGGGGCCCCAGATAAATGCCACCCGAGGGACCGCCCGACCGTTCTTCGGCGTTAGTGGCATCCCGGGCCTGTGAGGCATCGCCCGTTCTCCTTCATCTCCTCCACCGTGTCACAAATCGCCTCAGCTTCAGCGCTTACCAAAACCTGGCAGCCAAACAGCTCCCCCCCCACCCCGGCTCCTCCAACTTTTCAAAAAACACACATTTTCCTAAAACCCAAGAAACCAAGGGAACACCTATTTTGGGTTTCCCTCCCCCCAACATGTGTTTTGTTTCGAGGAAAATAAAAAATACAACACATTGTTCTAAGTGGCGTCAAAACCTTTCGCAGGCGCCGAAAATCATCGTTGTTGGACCATGTGACACAGTTTGCCTTCGGTGACTGAACCAGTCAACCCACCAACCCACCCACCACCCCACCACCCCACCACCCCACCACCCCACCACCCCACCACCCCACCACCCCACCACCCCACACCCCCACACCCCGCCTCCACCACCCCACCACCCCTCCACCCCACCCCACCACCCCACCACCCCTCCACCCCACCCCACCACCCCAGCCACCGACGCATGCAGGCGATCGTCTGGGTGGCACATATTGGGGTGGGACAATATATGACTCTGGATGGAGGTCGTTCACAGCGTGGGACCAACCGCCAGCCCTCCCGACTCGCCTCCAGAACTACGTTGGATGACGATTCGAGGTGGACGAGCGCCAAAGATGGACACAACCGATCAAAGCCGGAATGGGGGAATTCAGCGCGTTTCCTGGACGGGTCACGGTGACATGTGGTGTTTTGTTCGGGGGATCAAGCAGCTTCACCATGAGCATCTGCTCTTTCGTCGCAATGCCGAAAGAAAGGAGCCGATCCAGCCGATAAAATCTTTGGCGACTGGCATTGCCCTCCTCCCCCAATTTGCAAATGGTTTTGGCGCTCGCTGGCCACAAATCAAATATACGCGCGTGCGCGCGCTTTTCATTGGAGATCGTTGATGAGTCTACGTGCGTGAGGTTGTCCTCCTGTTGTCCCTCTGCAACGCGTTTTGGGCGTTTTTGAGCGCGTGGTTTTCTGGTTTGTGGCGGCTTGGGCTTGGAAACTGGCCACCCCTGGCTCGGTTTTGCTAGGTGCTCTGGTTTGAAGCCTGGAGATGTAAACCCTTCACGTTGAAGTCAAAGAGACGCCTTGATTTTGATGGCTTTGTTTTTGGTCATATGAGGATCCTGAGCTTTGAAAAACTTCGTTCTTGGAAGGTGTTTACCCTATTCAACTCTAATACGTAACCCCCTTGTACCAATCTGTTTGCTGGGCTGTCCTCAGATCCCCTACCAGAACATTAACCTTTAGCGGGTTCAATGGAACCCCCCACTAAACCAACTACAAACCCTAAAAAGCTAAGGCCAAAATAAAGATCAACTTTTTGTGGGTTAACTGGAACCACCCACTAAAACCCAAGAAGCTAAGCCGGAGGATTCGCTGGGAGCCAAGTTTATAGGTCGCTGAGTTGCGTCGATCCCGCCTGCAGGGTGTGCTGCGCAGCAGCTTCCAGCTGGCGCCCGCTGTCCTCGAAGCCGGGAAGCCCGGCTATAGAGACCAAATAGGGTAATTGTATTTATGCGTTTTTTTTTTTTTTTCCTCTTTTTTTTTCGAGGGGACCGTTTTTTTGGATGTTGAAAGGGAAATTAACAGGAAGACCACCGGTTTGGAGGGTCCAACCACAAGCAAACCCAACCAAAGGGCAAGGCCGCGGGCACCCGACACCGAGCTGCGAGAGGCTCTCTCCAGTGATTGCATCTAATGGAAACCGAAGAAAAAAAACGTAGGGAAAGCAATTGAGTCCGCTGCGATGATATTACGCAAATAACAAACAATGACAAACATCCAAGTAGTGGATTCGAGTGGAACATTGTTTATCCTTATAGTAGGTAACCAGCTATTCTCCTTTTGGTTTGGAAAGGGTGGTTCCCTTGGTTACCTACTATACAGGTAAATGGATCCACTAAGTATGGCTTCTTGACATGGGGACCTACCACAAAAAGAAGACTAACTGATTGTCCCATGTCCATTGCGGGTACAGGCTGGAGTCGATGTCTATGTAAGGGGCTGGCCGATCCCACTAGGGAACTGCAACCACCTTTCAGAGAAGACTTCGCTGAGACAACTCTCTTGAGACCATCGGAAACTTGGTTGCCTCTTCAAACTGCCTGGGAATGCGCTGGCAATTGCCAGAAGAAGTCCAACGTCAATATAGTCCCAAAGGATTTGGCCAACTGTGACCTGAGCAGAAAGCAAAAGGCTGATTCTATGCAAAATAAATCATAGGCTAGCCGTGCTCGCTCATGTTCACATCCCCTTGTTAGCTGGGGAATCATAGGCAGATGTGACTGGGGCGAGTTGGGATTCTGACCCCCATCACCTTGTGTCCTTGCTTGCCGTGCAAATCAACACATGGAACCGGTTAGGAGATGCAGTCACCACAAAGAGGTGTCCCCTCCAAACATGGGTGTGGGTCAAAAATAGGTACCTCGAATGGGAACCCTGGTAAATGGAAGCAAAAACGAAGACCTGCGGTCCATATGGTCTCACTTGCTGAGTGGATGGCCCAAAAAAAGTCCAAACTTCTTATTTACCACCAAAATGGTCGTCCCAAAAAGTTTAAAGTTCATGAACTCAGGAAGTGAGTGGTGGTTTCATTTCGACCCATGCCCTGACTTTTGCAGAAACCCATCCAGGTGTCTTGTGAGGCGACCCGCAGGCCCTGCGGTGAGGCTCTGGCGGCGTGGTACCAGGCAGTAGTGGCCAGCTCCGGCTTCCTGCAGCGCCACTTGCGAGGAACCAGGACCAAACCATGCTCTAGGTCCAGTAGAGAGGTTAGAATAAGGGTACCCGTTTTTCTTTTCCTGTTTTTCCCTCGTTCATTTTTTAGGAGGGTTTTCCTTTTTTTCCTTTTTTCGGTAGTCTATTTTAGTAGGGGAACCCTCCCCAAAAAAAAACGGTAAAAGGGCACAACTGGGGGACCTAGATGCTGGTGAGCTCGCGCTAAACCCGGCAAACAAGTTACTTGATTGATTACAATGAACGCGGAGGGTTGTGGAACTTGAGACACGCCAATATTTAGACGGAAAGCTGCTTCGAATCCTGGTTGGAAACATCCCATGTACTTTGTGTGGTCAAGGAACAAAAGGGACACCCCCCATTTTCAGCCCCCTCCCCCCCCCCACGTCTCCCCGCCTCCCAACAACACAGTCTCCTGTTGGTTTCCCCGAACAGATCCAAAGGCTAGCCTTAAGAAATCCGCCGGGTGTTGGGTCCCGTGAGCTTACGGGACCCGAGCAACGGCCATGTCCTCAAACCCCCGGCAGTGTAGATCCTCTTTGGATGCCCACTGCAACGGACATGACATACACTCACCAAGCGAAACGGAGGAACAATCCGGTAGTGACATTGAGTGTGGTAAGTAACTGGACAGGGCGCCCATCATAGAGTCGGACCCAAGAGAACCTATACTTAGTTTAGAGGATGTACTTGGGAAGCTGCCATTGGTATTGTCTTTGACTTGAAACACATTGTGGTGCACACTTTCAGCACGTCAACATCACTAAACTTCTATTTGCTCAAGTCCCCTTGAACAAACTAACACACATCTGCAGTGACAGATTCCCTTCAAAGCCAACAAAGGGCGAACACGAAATCTGATTTCCGGCCCTTCGAAATCCACTTGGGAGCTCTGAACCCGGCTGGCTTCGGCTGGGCCCCCCGGCTGGCCGAAGGTGTGGTCCAGGCCCCTGGACGCCACGGGGTCTACCCGTGGGATGGAACTGAAAAAGACCATTCCTGTCCACCCCCACGGAAAACCGCTCCTTTTTGTTGCGGTGCCTGCGATTGAGAGACAAACCTGGAAATGTACCTGCGGGCGCCGCATGGATGAGTGCGCGTGTGGGTGGATTGGTGGCCTGCACTATTGTTCAGAAGGCGTCAGCGTCAACCCCCACCGGCAACAACTGTGCAGCAGTGACGTTCCCAATTTGGCTAAAAGCTTCCCTTTGGCTTCCTCCTTTCTTATCGCTCCACCGAGAGAGGGGTCCCGCTATTCTGCTGCAGTCTTGTGTGTGAGAGAGAGAGAGAGCGAGAGAGAAAGGGAGAGAGAGAAATAGAGTGGGAGGGAGAGAGAGAGAGAGAGAGAGAGAGAGAGAGAGAGAGAGAAAGAGAGGGAGAGAGGTCAGACTAAAACAAGCAGAAACCGGTGAAGGTGAGTTGGCCAAAATGTGTGGGCGACCATTTATTAGGGCCTACATGATTAGAATGAGAATGGGGTACAAGTTGAGGCAATATACACTTGCGTTTACAGGGAAATACGATTTGTACTTCGCATCTTATATCAACTCCCAAACTCCCACCCTTCCAGGCATCACTAGACTTCAAAAGTTCATCCAGATTCTGGTGGTGTCACTACAGCTGCCATTTTTGCGGCTCGAAACCCAAAAAAAATGGAGAAACCCCAAATTCATCCAGATGCTGGTGGTTTTTCCTACAGCCGCCCCCAACTTCCTTCCCCCAACAGCTGGCAAAATCACACGTCGGGCGTCCCCACTCCAGGGGCTCGCCATCCGGGCCGAACCTCGGGATCCAAAAGCTCGCTCGGGACGAGGCAGGCATCCATTTGAGCCATAGACATCGAACAAAGGGTGTACACATGAGCAGGCAATCTATGATCTCTATATATATATATATATATATGTTCATTCAAGTACTACACCTTCTCCCCGCCCCCCCCCCAACATCCCGACCTTTTCAGCTCTCTTGTTTGAAAAACATGCTGCCTGTGATCTTGGAGTTTTGAAAAATTAAAGGCTAAGCAAACGTCGGCAACATCTGCAGTCTCTTGTGTCTTTGCATATAGACTTGATTTGTGGCAGTTGGCAAGTTAGAATCATATTTACAGGCTTTGAGCATCAACATATGGCTGTGGGTCAAAAATAGGTACCCAACATGGAGCCCTGGTAAACTAAAACGTGCGGTCCCTTTGTGGTGGATTTGTTGTTTTCCATGCCCATATTGCGCGACACGACCATATTGTTGTATGGTTGTTGCCGAGAAATCAAAACGCACTCCTATTCTAGAAAACAGTATGCAGCATCTGGGTTTTTGCCCAAATAGGAGAACCCTGAAAATGTTTGAAACCAACCCTGAGCATTTCCCCCCCACAAAGCTGCACTCATATACTAGGATTGTTCCATTGGGGGTCTCTTGCATGCCTGAACCAGGAAATCCATATTTCTGGAGACCCTTACACTTAAACCTCGGAAGTTCCCGCCAAGGCTCCATAGCGGAAGGAAAGCTCATGCTGTTTCCTAAGACCAGGAGTATCCCAAGAGGGAACCCCTCAAACCCTCCCGAAAGGATGTTCGAAGGAAAGCTCTGGAAACATGGACTAAAACCTGCGGTCCATATCCTTGTGGTTTCATTTTGACCCATACCCATTTGTTGTTGGGGTTCCATGAAAACCACCAGGAAAACAACCATTTGTTGGGGTTCCCATTTTGTTGGTGTTTTATTTGTTGTTGGGGCTCCATGAAAACAACCTCGCTCCCAATGGCAATCAAAGGGCCCTGGCAAGGGCTGCAGCGGCTGCACTTTGTCTCCGAAGGTCAGGTCTATGCCTGCGTCGCGCCCACGTTGCAAACCAAGAGGTGAAAATAGAGGCCAGGCTTGAGAATCCTTGCCTTTGCGACTTTGCCCTTCTCGCTGGACAGGGCGGGTTTCTCTCATTTTCAGGGCTGTGGGCTCAAATGTTTCCCAGCCCAATTATCTGATTAGTTGGGCTGCACTCCCTTTTGCAAGATAGAACAACCTGTCCTTTGCAAGCCCAGTAAACTGTGACTTGAACGACCCCAATTCCACTTTTTCCCAACCAAGGATAATCAATTAGTGTGACGTGGGGCCCGCCTGTTGTGTGGTTTCACACACACACACACACTGAAGGAGCGTTTCCTACGACATGAAAGGATTCTCCCCATGAGACAACTCCCAGATCTGATTGATTCCCACCATTCTGCCCCTCTCTTTATTTCTGTTGTTTTTGCTTCCTTTGTTTCTATCCTTTTCCTTTTTCTCCACCTCTTTGTTGTGTTTGTCCTCTTTCTCTTTCTCTTTCTCATCCTCTTGCTTTCTGTCTCTGACTCTGTCTCTATGTCTCTCTCTCGCTCTCTCTTTGTCTCTTGCTTGGCACACTTCACCGCGACATGCACAGTTCGGGCAAGAACCCCGGGTTGCAGTTGGTTGCAATGCAAAGGTTGTCGAAAGGCGGTATGGAACTCAGGAAAGTTGGGCCCGCTGCATAGACCCAGCCTGACATAGCCCTGATCTGCAGGGGTCAAATACAAATACTCCCACCATGGACCCTCAAGCTCCCCAAACAATGGGCAAATTGCTGTGATTCCCAGACCTGAAGGAATCCCCGCGTAGGGAACCCATCAGTCAGGTGTTTTTTCCAGGCGAGCGAACTCGCTGAGTCAAGGGGCCGGGATCTGCTCAAATATGACCAGTGACAATTGAATGACGGTTGCTCACACAGAAGTACATCAACACATTCCGATGTGTTGTTACTATTATTATCATTATTAATATTATCTTTTCTTCGCATTTTTATTAGCAGTAAGTATTAGTATTAGCGGTAGTATCCGTATTAATATTATCCTTACTAGGTTTATTATTATTCGTATTATCATCATCATCATCATCATCATCATCATCATCATCATCATCATCATCATCATCATCATCATCCTCATCATACGTTTTACATAACTATTGGTACAAACAAACAAATAGTTGACTGTCCCTAATTTGGCTGACTGTCCCTTGTGCAGCCGACCTCAGACGTACCATGAAATGGGAGAAAGGCCCAACAGGTTGGACTCTGGAAGCTCTGGCAGTCCCAGGAACTTCTTAGCAGGACAAACCCTACCAGGGGCACCAACAAAAGGGGTCCCTTTGAAGATCCCAAAACCTGCACCCCCCCCAAAAAAAAAACACCCTTTTCCTTGGGGGTCTTCCGGGGAAATGCCACTTTCAAGGCGCAGTTCTCTTCAAGTTCATATCGGAAGGGGTGCCCTCTTCCAAACCTTTCTCCTTCACAACCCTTGGTATGGAAACACCAAACTTCGTTTCTTGCAGACTGCCAAACATGAACAGAACCCCAGAAAACATATAAAACACAGACAAACAACTTGATCCAACATGCTGCAGTTCCCTTCGGCCGGCCTTCCCGGAAGAGCCCGGCCCAGACTTCCTTCGCCGAGCGCTGCGAGCGCCTGGAAGCGAGCCGCGAAGCGCCCGGAAAGCTTGCGATGGGCGCGATTGGCAGGGAATGAGGGAATGAACCCACGACAAACTGGGTTCATTCCCACATTCTCTGAGCACCAGTTGTAAAAAAAGGGCTTTTTGAATTTGGATACCAGTTGATGCATCAACAAATACAATTCCAACATCTGAAAAACGGAATTTCCAGCTAAGAAAATGGGGCTCCTTACCCTCAGAGAGCATGGGTCAAACCGGCCGTTGCTATGGGTCAAAACCGCGAAGAAATTCCGGCGAAATCTCAGCACCCTTTTCCGCTACCCAGTCACCTACTTTCACTGGCGCAAAAGGTGGCATAAAACTGGACCCTCAAAGGTGGCATAAAACTGTTCTCAGAACTCGGGGGGGGGGGGGGTTTCCTTCAAACACCACTTGGGTAATTTCAAGGATGTCACCGTGGACCAGGTATTTCCTGAGCGAACACAACCCTGGAGGATTGATTTGGCTGGCTTTTTCTTGCTGGTGCTCAGTAGGGGGGGGGGGAATGAGAATTGGAATGACCCAAACAAAAACCATCCAAATGGTGATTTCCTTAAGGGGACCGAAGCCTGGGCTCATTCCCACATTCCCTATCGCGCCGAGCGCCAAGCTTTAGACCCAAAACGCCACCAGGATATCCAAAGAAGGCACCTTGACTGGGCGGTGAGACTTGGTTGACGTTGGAAGGGGAGCACAAAAATTCTGAGATTTTAGCAGTTGAGTGGATTTGGATAATCCAACCACTAAACCACAATAAGATCAAACATGGGAAACATGTTTCCCAACAACGACCATGTAATATCCGCTTACTCGGGAACTGCCTCACACAATCGGGCCGACTTTTTGGAAACAAAAACTCAACAACGACCACGGGCATGTCAAGGCTGTGTGACCCAAGGAGGCGGGATCTTTCTCTCCGTTAGAACGCGGGTTGGTTTTTTTCTCAGAAGAGGGCCTTTCAAAAAAATAATATTCCCAACGGTTACAGGGATCAGGCAAGATTGGTCCCCAGAACTTATCCACCAAGGTGTTGTGACCAATATGGCTTTGTCTTTTAGAGGGTATTCATGTTTTGGTACGAAAGGAAGCCACTCGTTTTGGAGCCCAGTTCCCAGAAAGGGGCTTTGTCTCAGTGACCAATAGGGAATTCCCTCACAACGAGGTGTCTGTCAAGTCGAGCCCCCATAGCTATGACAATCAACATGGCTTGCTTCGTCAGATGCCCTGTGCGGCGCTTCGAGCCGCGAGCCCCCGGGGCTGTCCGGCGCTTCGACCGGGGCCCCGGGCTCCGAGGGCGAGGACGGCGCCCGGGACCCCGGCAGCCGCTGGGGCGGCGCCACGCGCCGCGGAGGGCCTGTGGCCATGGCCTCGAGCAAATGGCGCGCTGGGCAGATATGGCTGCCACGGTCCAATGGGATGGATTTATGTATGGATACATAAAAGCACATATATATATATATATATTGTATATACCTATATATATATATATATGTATATATATATATATATATATATGCATATGGCTGAGGACCAAACAAGAACTTTTACCGAGCTGCCCTGGACACATGCATTTGTAGGCGCCCTACGTATACCTTGCCTTGCTCGTCGCTCGCTACGTCGTGGGAGATATGTGTTTTTATGTGTTCTATTCTTCGTGCAGAATAGAAGAGAATACCCCCTTCCAGTTGGCGCCCCAAAGAGTTCATAGATGGCATAGTCTGTGTACCATGTGCGGTGACTACTCAAGGGGTGCTATATCGTTCATCCCCCAATTTTATCTTCGCTGTAGAAACAGAGTACCCTAAGTCTCCTTGGGGCGCCCGTACCTCGCCCCAGGGTCTGCCACGCACACCCCGTCGTTTAGGGGCTTGCAGGGTAGGCCCCTTGGGGCTTCTTGGGGCCTGCAAAGGTTTGAGGCCACGCCCCGCGACGCCCCGAAAATCGGCTGGTGGGCTCAAACTGAAAGAGAGTAGCGGGGCCAGGTTCACATCTTCGTTGTTCAGGTCAGTGATCTTTCATGCTCAGATTTATGGGGTTTACTGCATGGGCCCTCAACCAACGATCGCAAGCATAGAAGGCGCGCGGAATGGCACTGCGATTGCCAGCGTGAAAGAATGCCATGGGCCCGGGCCACCCGTCTACAAGGCGACGGCCCGGTTAGCAGTGCATGCATGTACCGCAAGCACTGAGCACGCGCGACATCGTGCGTCCGAGCTGCAAGTGTTTGGCTCTGTGCTGTTGGCGTGACGCGATGGACCCTGACAAGGTGGGTGGCCCCTCGGCTTGTGGTTTCTGGGCTGGTCACCACTTGGCGTGTTTCAAGGGACAAGTGTTTGAGTGTGTGCGTGCGTGTGTGTGTGTGCCAAGGCTTGCTGAAGCTCCATCTTCCATCGGACGCATTTATTCAGTGTGCTCGGACCAAGACCCCTCATAACAGTCTCTTTGGCAAAATCCCCAATGTAACGCATATTGGATTTGCTGAGATGCGTGCGTATTTGGCGCTGGTCCTAGCCCTGGCGGAGATGAGTCCGACATGCGCCCTGCTTTGATTATTTCACTCATAAAAGGCCATGCTTGCTGCACACCTTGGTTGCAGGTGTGTGTGTGTGTGTGCGTGCGTGTTTCTATTCGCGCTTCAGGTGAGTTCACTATCCCATGCTTCCAGTTAGCTTTCCACAAGCTAGACGAGGCCGTTGATTTCAAGCTATCGCATGGCAAAACGTTGCGCGAGAAACGGCGCTGGGCGTCAGACGACCCTCGTCCCACGAGTGCATGTGTGCTGAAGCTTGCTTTCCCATACTCCTGCCACGCGGCGCCTGAGGAAAGTTACGTTCTTTGGGGACTCATGTCTTACAGTCGGCGCTACTGGCGAAAATCTCTGGAACCCAAAAGGCGGTCAAGGAATTCCGCTGCTTGTACCAGCATATATGCATTTAGCGCGCACACGGAATTCTTTCCCATGGTTAGGCCCTCAAAAAGGCGCTTCACAAAACATTCGCAGAGAAATCAGCAACGTGGGAAGGGCCTAGCCAGGGACACACGAATTCCAACATGTTGGGTGCAGCAATGCCCAGCTGTTGTTGCCTAGCTAAGGAAGCCTTGAAGCTCCAATCTGTCATGACATCAAACCCCAAGAAGACAAGGACAAAGAAGAAGGATGAGGGGACCAAAACTTTGGCTGACGAAGAAGAAGACATTCAACTTATTTCATGTTCGACCAGTGTTGGGGTATATGCTTTGCAAAGCCATGGGCTTAGATTAGAATCTGGCCATTGAACTTGCACGACCTGCGCCCAGCCGCTTTTTCCGCCCGCAAAGGCAAGATTGCATCGAGCTCCGGCCGTGAGGACCTGGTCGGATGTCATTGAAGGATGTTGTTAAAAAAGTACGAAGGGAAAGAATTCAGGGCACTTTTCTCCAGGTTGTTTTGCTAGGGCATTATTTTTCATCCAGGGTTTTGTGAATTGCACTTAGGGGGAGAAGGTGCTTTTCCTTCAGGGTTTTTGCAAAACACACGAAAAGGGAGATCCCAGGTACTAGGCTTGTTTTGGTGCCAAGTGCACCCAAGGCAAGGGGGGAACCCAGAAAACTACTTGTCATTGAGGGGTTTGCAAAATACGCTTTAAGGGAAGAACGGTTTTGGCAAAACACACGAAAGGGGAGAACCCAAATACTAGGTGATTTTGCCAAGCGCACCCAACAAGGAACCTTCGAAAACTACTTATAATTGTCATTGAGGGGTTTGCAAAATACGCTTTAAGGGAGGTACCCAGGGCGCTTGTCATTGACAGTTTTTGCAACACACACGAAAGGGGAGAACCCAGGTACTAGGTTGTTATTGCAAAATGCACACAAGGGGAGAACCCAGATCTAATTACTTGTCATTGACAAATACGTTTAAGTCATTGAGGGTTGTCAAAAGGGGAGAACCCAAGATTACTCTTCATTGGTGTTTTGAAAAATGCACTAAAGGCAAAAGCTTATAGAACTTGCTGCTTGGCCTTGCTAGGAAAGGCCACCAGTGGCCGTGGTTGTGGATTCTGAAGACGAGGCTGAAGACACACAGCCCCCCGAAAAGACACTGCCGCAGCTTGAGAAGGCCTGTGAACCAACAGGAGGGGCGCTCGAGCAAATCGCTGATGTGTGGCTCCCACATCGCTCCATGCCCGTGCTGGTGAATGATAGTTCCGACGAAGACGAAGATGAAAAGGGGGATCTGTTTAAGGCCAGGGGCCTTGCCTATGTCTCCCCAGCCAAAAGCTATGGACTCTCATCTACTGTGGGCAGTTTGGTCGAGAAATTCAACGCCGCTGCCCTGAGCACACCGGACTCCAAAACCAGAGCTTCGGGCTTCACGCCTCAACCTTGCCTCGGTGAGGAACATAGTTGGGATGCACTCTGTTTCAACTCAGTCGGTTGCCATCAAACTTGTTTTTCGCCCCAACCCTGCAGGACCAGAAAGCTACCAGCCAACCTGCGCACCAACACCCTGCGGCTGGCGGACATGCTGCTAAAGACCCTGCGGGCGGCGGACTTGCTCCTGAAGACCCTGCGAACGGCGGACTTGCTCCTGAAGACGCTGCGGCTGGTGGACTTGCTCCTGAAGACGCTGCGGGCGGCGGACTTGCTCCTAAAGACCCTGCGGGCGGCGGACTTGTTTTTGAAGACCCTGCGAACGGCGGACTTGCTCCTGAAGATGCCGCGGCTGGTGGACTTGATCCTGAAGACGCTGCGGGCGGCGGACTTGCTCCTAAAGACCCTGCGGGCGGCGGACTTGCTCCTGAAGGGCCTGCGAACGGCGGACTTGCTCCTGAAGACGCTGCGGCTGGTGGACTTGCTCCTGAAGACCCTGCGGGCGGCGGACTTGCTCCTGAAGACGCTGCGGCCGGCGGACTTGCTCCTGCAGACGTTGCGGCCGGTGGACATACTCCGGAAGACGCACTTGCTCCTGAAGACGCTGCGGCCGGCGGACTTGCTCCTGAAGACGCTGCGGCCAGTGGACTTGCTCTTGAAGACCCTGCGGTTGGCGGACTTGCTCCTGAAGACTCTGCAGCCCGCGGCGGTTCTGCTCTCCCAGGCGGGAACCTACCTGCAACAGGTGGAGTACGAAGCGGTTAGTCTTGGGCTTTTAGCAAGGGTTTTAACGGCAGGTCGCTCTTAGGGTTTCCACCTTGTTTGTGTTACGCGCACAAGTGTTTTCACAAAGCGCCCTTTTGTCAAAGACAACAATGGAAAAGTGACTCTATCGAACAAACAGTCTATGAAAAACACAGCTTTCCACTAAAACCTAGAGCGCCCTCAGCTTACTGCAGCAAGAAGCGCCCGAGGCTTGTTGCGCCAGTTCTTCAATTTGCAGATGCTCACGTTGTTTATCACGTGTCCACAGTTTTGTGAGAACTGTGGAACCTTCGTGGAACCCTAGTAAACCCTGATAAAACTCTGGTGGAACCCTTGTGCCACCCCGGACCACCCCGAGCCTATCTGGGTGCTTTAGGTGCTGGGGAGAAAATGCTTGCAGACAAGTTTCTATCCTGCAAAGTGTATTTTTACAGTGCAATTCGGGCATTGCAGTCGCTTGACCCTGCCAGAAGTCCGCCTTGCGGCCCTACAAGGTCCTCATGCTTCTCAGGCTGAGGCTCCCTGCGGCGCAATGAAGGAAGTGACCTGTCAGCACGCTCAGCTAAGCAAAGCATTTACAAAAAAATGCAAAGTGTGTTCCGTGCTTCTTAGGCTGTTGACAACCAGAAGGGCAACAAGTATGGCTGCCCCACCTTGGCGAACAGCGTGAACCAGAAAGTTATCAACATGGTGGAGGCCGCCCCTCCAGCTGTCTACGCAAAGCAAGGTGAAGTTGTTGGGAAAACAAAGGGGCGTAAAAAAAAGGCCTCGAAGGGCCAACCTGCGGCCGACGAGCAACAACACAAGCGCAAGGTAGGTGCGGGAAGCAGCGCAGTTAGCCCAAAGAAGGCCAAAATGGTGGCCAAGCCTCCAGTCTCTTCAAGTGTCCCTGACAGCCACACTCCCGATGCGCCTGAACCTGAAGGGGCGCCCAAGCCGAAGGCCAAGGCCTGCAGAAAGCGCAAGAGCAAGTGTGACAACCCCGCCGCTGAGTCACGCAAGCCCGCCCGTGAGGAGCTGCCAGTCCCCGCTTTGGAAAGTCTCACAAGCCCTTTCAAGCCACCTGCTCATATTCAGACCGGGCATGTATACAGCAACTCTTACAGGAAGAGCTTGGCTGGGGGCCTTGAGGCCGAAGAAGCCAGAAAGCAAGCTCGCCTTGCAACTGCCCTGTTCAAAGCCTATGGCGTGGTTACGTCTGACCTGTGTGGCAAATTTGCGGACAAGCCACGCAAAAAAAAGCCTGCAGAAGAGAACGCAGAAGCTGGCAAGATGCTAGCGCCCGATGGTTCAGTCAACTCAACGTAGGTTTCATGGCACGCTCGTGTTTCGAAGGTGCTTGCTGGGTTGGCAACATTGGATCCCTGAAAACCATGCATGTTCAAGTGTTGTCTGCAAGCGTGCGACATGGAGCAGGTTGAGTTCTTTATTTCTAGACTCTGTCAATTAAGCGCCTGGACCGGAATGGAACCTAGCCCATGCTTGAGGAAGTATAGCGGAGGGGCGCGCTTCTGTGAAAGCTGGGCTGGCAAAAGGGAAGTGCTCGTTTGCCAAGAGTTATATGGTCTTTCCCCCTTTGAAAGCGAGCGTGTTTCTTTCGATTCCAAAAGTTTTTTGTTGTTTCATTGTTTGTTCCCAAAACAACAGGGGAAAAGCCATGTGACCTGCGCTGAGCACATGTTTTTTGCCACGCTTCAGTTTTGGCTGCTGCAATCTAGTGCTTTCGGCGGGCAACATGCCAAAAAAGGAAGGGCCTTGCGCCGTTCAGCGCTATGGTCAAAGTGTCGAGGAGCTGCCCGGCGAGAAGCTATGATACGAAACTGGATGTGTGTGTTTCCGAAAGCTTTCAACGACCCAGGACTGCTGATCCTGTGTTCATTCCGCGGGGACTTGCCGGACTTTCCCGGCCTGGCTATCTCCCGATTCGATTCTTCCTGCTGGTCCAGCTCATTCAGCACGTTGCCCACCTGCAAAGTTTGCCCCCACAGTGACGCACAAAACAAAACAATCGAAGGACCCAAACGAAACTTCACCAAGTCCCTGCGATGAATTGGAACCCTTTGGGTCTTGATAGGGACCGAAACAACCAGACATGAGGACTGCGTTGGCAATTTGCTTCGCGAAACAGACACCGTAGAACCACACTCACATGTACCTTTTGGCCGTTTTTCGCCGGAGGCTTTTGAGATGAGGGGTGAGGAGAACCAGTTCCACGCCATAGATCTTTTCTCTGGTCAGGGCAGCATCTCCCGCGCCTATAAGGCACGTGGAGAGAACGTTGCCCGTTTGGACATTTCTCTGGACAAACGTGATGCTCCTCAGCAAGATTTGCAGTCCCTATCCATTGGGCTGGACAAAGGTAAACCTGCCCCTCTAAGGATATATGCAGCCCTTTGGGTTACCTCCGCCACATCCTGGCCGTTCTCGGCATGAAAAAGAATGCTTTGGCGGTGGCGGGAGTAGTGTGTTCATCTTGGACAGTAGTTAACCGTTTCTCGGCAACGCAACGGTGTGCAGTATGTCGACATATACTACCGCGCCTCCGAGGAGGCACGTCGAATCGAAGCCCCCAGTCTCCTATGGGGCGGACGTGGCTTGGCAAACTCTGCTGTGGCGGCACTGTTCCAGAACCGTGAGGCAAAACCAGACATCTTGGTTGTTTCCCAAAACAACCTCAAAAATGGCACCGTGACTCACCATTTTGGAATACCTTTGGTTCCCCGAACACGTGTAATCTGCATATGCAAAAAGTCGGCTCGTCTCAAAACAGGCTTCAACACAAGGCGGTTTGAGTGCCTCATGGACACTGTACACATGCCTTCTTTTTCCTTCACAGCCAACAAATGGGCATGTCTTTTCTGGAGGTGCCTGACTTTTGTGGTTTTCCAAGCCCAAGAACAAGCCACCATTTTGGACACCCAAATGCGCTTCCCTGAAAAGCTTTTCCTTGAAAGGCTATGGGCTTCGTCGCGTGACCTCAGGGCGTTTTGTTTTGCTATGTTTTCCTGGGTTAGTTGAAGCTGACGGCCACAATTGCTTCAGTTTGTCCTCAGCTCCGCAGAGCGGCCACCTACCACTAGTCCCCCAAAACCGAAAAATCTAAGGTTTGGCTTTTTGAGGGGAGATGGTATTCCCTGAAGCAATCACATCTTTCACATAACAGTTGGCCGCAAGGGCCTTCATTGTCAGATGCCTTTTATTGACGTATATCTCATATCTAGATGTCTATAGATATATGTATATATATATATATCCTGTATCTACACGTCCTCCGCTGTGTCGCAAAGATTTGAAAAGTAGGAAATGGAAATCAGGGAGCGCTGTGCCGTTTGGCACAGATACCCACGCCTTGGTCGCGGAGCAACTGTGTGTGTTTGCTTGTGACGCCCGTGTTTTCCTAACTTGCAGCCTGCGCAAAGGCTACTCACTCTGGAGGGGTGTCACGATTCACTACGTTCCTCGATCTATTTTAGAATCGCTGTGAGGCACAAGCAGCAACCTTTGTTCTGGTAGCTATGATGATAGCTCTGGCGGAGCTATCTAGATATGTTAAGCTTGGAGCAACTTGATACCTGTTTATTTACAGTGGTGAACCTGTGCGTGAAGTGCAGCGCTGTCGTTTCCTCAGGGCAATGATGTACTTGCTACTGTGGCTGTACTAAGGCTCAAGGCCTTGATTGTCCATGGCAGCATCCAGGGTGTATTGGGATGCATATATTTTAACAAGATACAGGGTATATGTATAATACGTTAATTTATATATGTTGCGGGCCCTTTTTGGGATCCCATGTTTCCCAGTGGGTGGGGGCCAACTTGAAAATGAAGTGTTACACCTTCCGTAGCTCCAACGCATTTCAAAATGTGTTGGGGCACCCCTACACCTGGCTCGGGCTACACCGCTTGAGGTCCTTGAAGTATATCCGCCAAGCAAACCTGATGGTCAGCCGTGCTAGGGCCCTAGTTCCTGCGCCTATTAAACGCAGTCTGTTGTAAGCTTGAGGTGACCCTCCTACTGATGCTCGTTTTGTACCAATCTGGACACATCCTGCTAGAAAACCCTCTGCAGTCGCTGGAACTTGGGCTGCAGCCAATAGAAATTTGACAGGGGTTCTTTTTTATGCCTGCGGTCAGCTAAGATTGGTCTGCATGTGCGGCTACGCGACCTACACTTCTCTGGGTATGTTTGGGGGTGCAACTCAAAAGCCAACCCGGCTTTGGTCGGATGACCCTTGTGTGAAGAAGCTCTGCAGGACACACGCTGAGTGGCATGACATAGCATGTCCTATGCTTATAGTTTGTCTGGCGCCCCTTTACGCGCAGGAGATTCAAGAAATCCAAATTCATCAAGATGAAAGAAAAAAGAGCTGGTCACCATCCTTGCGACGGCCCCACTGCCATCCGCTATCGAAACAAGCGAGGAAAGCCTTGCTGGAAAGGTGGGCCAGGGCTTAAAATTGCTCACAAACTTATCCAGGCTCCTTTGGTCGATCTGCCCCTTGACTGTGCTCTGGTGTCAGAGGTTCTGTCATACTGAAGCAGCCACGCTACCCGGCCTTTTGGGCAGTGTCCTCATACTCTGCGCACCTCAGGTCGCACGCACCTTCAGCCTGTATGCCCGTGACGGCCGGCTACGTGAAGACAACTCGTGGATTGACTACAGCCCAGACCCTTGGAATGACGCTGAGTAACCCTACGAAACCTGACACTTGCTTCACTTTCAAGGGCGTTGCTCTCCTCATGTGTTTGGAAGGTATACCATGGCAGTATTAGTGTTTGCTTAGGCTGGATGCGGTGGAAGAACTTTTGCAATCCATGCTGAGAAAGTAGTTTAGCACGCTAATTCAGGCTTTTCTGAAAGCAGAGTGCTTGGACACCCAGCCCCCTCGGTCGCTACGCAATTCCAGCGCAATCTTTTGAGCCCAGCGAACACAATGTAAAATAAGGGAACCCTCCAATTAGCCCGGTAAACAGGGGTGCTTTTGGCCCTGCACTGCGGGGCGTACAAGCCTGGCCCTGCAATGAAATTCAACGCTGTTGGCTCTGGCAGTGTGTGGCGCGTAAGCTTGGCGCGCAGTTTCACATTACCGCAAGCACGTGCCATATGGAAAACACTTGGCACAAGAGCACTTTACCTGACCATGGATTAGCCTTCGATCTTGAGCTTTGCTGCATGAGTGTGCAAATGTCGAAGCTACAAGCATACCCATGTGCCAATCTCCTCTCCCCTGACAGCCGACGCCAACCCGACGCCCACCCGACCCCGAACCGACGCCAACCGACGCGAGAAGCCATCCGACGCCAACCGACGGCTCTCCTCTACAGCCAAGACGCCAACCGACGCCAACCGACGCCAACCGACGCTGCCCAGCCGACGCCCTTCGACGCCCTTACAAAGCCGACCGGCGCCAACCGACGCCAACCGACGCCAACCGACGCCAGCCGACGCCAACCGACGCCAACCGACGCCAACCGACGCCAACCGACGCCAGCCGACGCCAGCCGACGCCAACCGACGCCAACCGACGCCAACCGACGCCAGCCGACGCCAACCGACGCCAGCCGACGCCAGCCGACGCCAACCGACGCCAGCCGACGCCAGCCGACGCCAACCGACGCCAGCCGACGCCAACCGACGCCAACCGACGCGAGAAGCCATCCGACGCCAACCGACGGCTCTCCTCTACAGTCAAGACGCCAACCGACGCCAATCGACGCCAACCGACGCGAGAAGCCATCCGACGCCAACACAGTCAAGACGCCAACCGACGCCAACCGACGCCAACCGACGCGAGAAGCCATCCGACGCCAACCGACGGCTCTCGAGGATCCTCTACAGTCAAGACGCCAACCGACGCCAACCGACGCCAACCGACGCGAGAAGCCATCCGACGCCAACCGACGGCTCTCCTCTACAGTCAAGACGCCAACCGACGCCAACTGACGCCAACCGACGCTGCCCAGCCGAGGCCCTCACGAAGGGAACCGACGCCAACCGACGCCAACCGACGCCAACCGACGCCAACCGACGCCAACCGACGCCAACCGACGCCAACCGACGCCAGCCGACGCCAGCCGACGCCAGCCGACGCCAGCCGACGCCAACCGACGCCAGCCGACGCCAGCCGACGCCAACCGACGCCAGCCGACGCCAACCGACGCCAACCGACGCGAGAAGCCATCCGACGCCAACCGACGGCTCTCCTCTACAGTCAAGACGCCAACCGACGCCAATCGACGCCAACCGACGCGAGAAGCCATCCGACGCCAACCGACGGCTCTCCTCTACAGTCAAGACGCCAAGCGACGCCAACCGACGCCAACCGACGACCGACCCCAACCGACGCAAACCCCGGCGCTGCTCGTAATGCTGGGGGTGTATCTGGTGATGCTGGCAGGTGTTGCTAACGTGATGCTGGAGGAATGCATGGAATGCGCAGTTTTACCTGAAGCTGGTGGGGCAGGTGCTGGGGATGCTGGGGATGCTGGGGATGCTGGGGATGCTGCGGGCGATGAGGGGGGGGGGCCGTCGGTTGGCGTCGGTTGGCGTCGGTTGGCTTCAAAATTACTACATTTCGACGCCCCGAGCGTCGGAAAGCCGTCGGTTGGCGTCGGTTGGCCCCCCCCCCCCGGCCCACCCCACCCTCCCCCCTCGCCCGCCCCACACCCACCCCCCCCCCCCTCCCCCCCCTTTGCCCCCTCCCTCCACCGCTCCCCCTTCGCAGAAGCAACTCTTTTGTGGGATGTCTGTGAGCCATTTTGGCAAGCCTGTCAGCGTGCTCCTGTCGCTTTGACCATGGCCAAGCGCCCTGCGATTGACCTGTGCGAGGTGGGCTTGTCAAGTGTTCCTATTTTTAGACACAGCGGCATCCGCTGCAGGCGCCCTTCATACCCTATAGCATCCGAATTAAAGCGTTCTTTGAGAAGTTCCCGGGTGCAATCCGGAAGGATGGGTTGAATTTCGCACGGGCTTCGCCAGCGACTGCTGGCAGACTCTTTGGCAGGACGAACCGCCGAAGCCCAGCATCGATAGCCAAGTCACCGAGGCGTGGGAAAGCCAGGCCGGAGATCCATGCAAATCTTCCGACAAACCTCAGAAGACACGACAGGACATTCCCGCAGATGCTCCCTCGCCTTACCAGTGGCCTCGGGATTTGAACCTTATCCGCAGGGCCCCGTCAGCAGCAGGGCTGAGCCTTTGCACGCAGCCCTGTTGCAATTTTTACTTGGCTGAAGCTTGCAAGGGTGGTGTGTAGGCTTTACGATTTTGAGGGTTTCCGCCCTGAGGTGTTTGGAGCACATGCATGGTTCGCCACGCTCAGGCAAGTGACCCCATGCGGGACCGACTCCAGTGTATCGCTGGATGTGGCGCATGGTTCTTCTCCCGCCTCTGCCTGTCTGCCCGCGAAGGCTGAGCCGGCTGCAACTCCCAGTAAAAGACCGCGACCGCGGCCTTCCGCCACACCGCTTGCCACACCCGCAGCGCCTTTGCAAGCGCACGGCGGCGAGCCAAGCGCCGTGCCACTGCTTGCCCAAGCCATGCAACGCTCAGGAGGCACGCCGCCAGTTCACAGCCCTATCCCTTGCAAGGTGGAGCGTGACAGCAGTGACCAACTCACAGCAGCCACAAAGCCCGAGCTAAGTGACAAGGGTCACCACACACTTGCGGCCGCGCCCAAGCTGTTGCCCGCCGCTCATGGACTGGCAGAAGCGCCTCCGCCCACAGCACCGGCTGGCCACCCTTCCCAGACAGTGAAGGCTGAAGCCTACTCTTCAGTCACCAGCGCTGCGGTGAAGCCAACAAGAGCACCGAAGCCCGAGCAGGCTGAGCCCTCGCACACAGCCCTTACAGCTGAGGCCACTCCCACCTCCTTGGCTGCACCAACACGAGACCAAGCGCAGCGCACAGCAACGCGCCCACGGCGCTTGCAACCAAATCACTTGTAGATGACTCCTCTACTGGGCTGGCTGTGGCACCAACAGGCAGTGACGCAGCAGCCGAAGAAGCTTCTAAAGAGTTGAAGGCTTCTGCCAGGTCCCTTGTCCCTACGCCAGCGCGCACACCACCGCGGCCAACGTCAAAGAAGGAGACCGGCGACGGGCTGCTTCCCGAACCCAAGCCTTGCTGCGCCACGCAGGCGCCCAGTGACAGCCCCACCCACGGGCACGGGCTTGCTGAGCAAGCCGGCGCTCCACCTTGCAAGGACACGCTTGCAGTTGCCCCAACCAGCTCAGCCAGCCCAACCGCACCGTCACACACCCCGGCCCAGCAGCCAAAGCTTGCCCGCAGCCCGCCGAGCCCACACCTCCGCAATCCTCCGTGACACCCAGCACATCCGCAGCTCATAAGGTTGAGAACCCTGGCCCCACCACGCCTGCCAGCAAGGTGACACCTTCGAAGTCCCCCGCGGCTCACCAGACGAAGACTGATCCAGACCTCGCCATGCCCGCCAAGGTCACACCGACAAAGCCCCCCACGCCGCCCACCGCAGAGAACATGGAGAGTCCTCTTGGCCCCGCCACGCCCAAAGTCACACCTTCAAAATCGGCACCGCCCAGCACAGCTCTGGCTCACCAGGCCAAAATTCCTGCTGACCTCATGGCTGCTTCCAAGACCGCACCTCCACAACCCACAGCTCCGCCCAAAGCACAGGCAAAGAGTCTTCCTGGCAACGCGCTCGCCGCCAAGGCCCCGCCGCCGCCTAACGCAGTTGCGGCTTACCAAGGTCCTCCTGCCCCCAACACTACTACCGCCTGCAAAACAGCGCCGGTCAGCCAGCCACCAGCAGCAGGAAAGCAACCAGCAGCAAGTAAGCACCTGGCAGCTACTTGTGGCAAGCAACAAGCAGCTGGCAAGCAACCGGTGGCGAGCAAGCCGAAACAGCCCGCAGCAGGCAAGCCACCTCTTCCTCCGGCTCCTTTGGACCTTGCGGTTGCACCAACCGTGACTTTTATGCACGGATCTTTGCGCGTTAAGTGCGTGCGCGTGTGGTGACTTGTGTGTGTGTGTGTGTGTGTGTGTGTGTGTGTGTGTGTGTGTGTGTGTGTGTGTCGTGTGTTTGCGATACGCGTGCGTGCGTGCGTGCGTGCGTGCGTGCGTGCGTGCGTGCGTGCGTGCGTGCGTGCGTGCGTGCGTGCGTGCGTGCGTGCGTGCGTGCGTGCGTGCGTGCGTGCGTGCGTGCGTGCGTGCGTGCGTGCGTGCGTGCGTGCGTGCGTGCGTGCGTGCGTGCGTGCGGCGTGCGTGCGTGCGTGCGTGCGTGCGTGCGTGCGTGCGTGCGTGCGTGCGTGCGTGCGTGCGTGCGTGCGTGCGTGCGTGCGTGCGTGCGTGCGTGCGTGCGTGCGTGCGTGCGTGCGTGCGTGCGTGCGTGCGTGCGTGCGTGCGTGCGTGCTGTGCGTGCGTGCGTGCGTTGCGGTGCGTGCGTGCGTGCGTGCGTGCGTGCGTGCGTGCGTGCGTGCGTGCGTGCGTGCGTGCGTGCGTGCGTGCGTGCGTGCGTGCGTGCGTGCGTGCGTGCGTGCGTGCGTGCGTGCGTGCGTGCGTGCGTGCGTGCGTGCGTGCGTGCGTGCGTGCGTGCGTGCGTGCGTGCGTGCGTGCGTGCGTGCGTGCGTGCGTGCGTGCGTGCGTGCGTGAGCGTGCGTGCGTGCGTGGTGCGTGCGTGCGTGCGTGCGTGCGTGCGCGCGTGTGTGCGAGTGTCGTTTGTTTTCGTACGCGCGCGTGCGTGCGTGCGTGCGTGCGTGCGTGCGTGCGTGCGTGCGTGCGTGCGTGCGTGCGTGCGTGCGTGCGTGCGTGCGTGCGTGCGTGCGTGCGTGCGTGGCGCGTGTGTGTGTGTGTGTGTGTGTGTGTGTGTGTGTGTGTGTACGTGTGTGGTTGTGTGCGTGCTTTTGTATGTTGCACGGGGAAGGGGGGGTTGGTGTGTCTGAGTGTGCTCTTTGCATGTTTGCGCGCGTGCTTTTGTCTCTGTGTGTGTCTGTAGGCATATGTTCGCGGTCGCGCAGTCTTTCTTTTGATGAAAGCGGGGCGGGGTTCGCCACTTCCCGCACACCCACATGTAGGCTTGGGTTGAGCTTCAGCAACTTGTGGTGATACGTGCTATGGCTAAGGCAACTCCGTTTTTGGCCAACAACGCTAAAGAGCGCTCTGCCTTCTATGCTACTTTCAAGAGGCAAATCACCGGGGAAACAATAGCGGCCAAAGTCAGCGACGAGATCCGGTCGGCTTGGGAGACCGCTGTGGCTTCTCGCAGCAAAGCTGCCAAAACTGCTCTTTTCCAGAGCTGGTGCAGCGCCGGAGGGGATTGGGCAAAGCTCCTTGTCTGTTAGCAAACAACCTGCTTTGTAACGCCTTAGCCCTGCTTGTGCCTGAGGCTGAAGGTTCGGCAAACCAGAACCCGCAGCTCTACAGAAAAAGGGAAGAAGAAATACGGCCCTCGCCTCTGTCAACTCGTCTAAATGTCCTTGTGTGAGGGTGCCTGCTCCCTAGGCTGGAGAACAAAAGACCAGCTGTTAGTTATGTATGGTGGAAACCAGACGCTTGTGAACCAGATCGCGGAGCAAAAGCAATTCACCGGGGAGGTGATGATGCACCCAGACTTGCCGGATGACCCGGCGATGACAATGTTCTATGTAACATGGCCTACGATGTGAGAGTGGAGGGTCTGACAAAGGTTCACATTATGGTCTGTCTTTCTAAAACCGCCAACGCCCATTTCAAAGATCGCAAAGTTTGCAATAAACCCCGTAGCCTTGTAGCCTCTGGTTTTCTATCAGAACGTTCGACCAAGAGCTCCCCAGAAAAGCCTTCCATGGGCAACTCAAAATTTGCTTTTTTGAACTCAAGCAAAAAAACCAACGGAGCCCAGGTGTCTGGGAGGATTTGTTTGTTCCCCAGGTGTTGCTTGACCTCTCCAACTCCAACGAGGATGAGGTCAAAGACACACTCAGCTTGGAAGCGGAGGGGTCAATGGAGCCAGAGTCGGAGGCTGGGCTTCCACACCGATCTGTGACGCTGACTGCTGCGACCTGAGGCAGCATCGTTGTTCTTTGCGGGCGATTTTGCGGGGTCCATGGCATCCGGTGTGATGGTGCAGCCACGATCCGTGGCAGACGCCAATGCCCCTCCCGCCAACCAGCCTGAAGATCCCCCTCCGCCGAAAAAGCAGAAGAAGCTTCTTGCATGACTGGGAGTTCTGATCATTGACCAAACAGTTTTTGTCCGGTCGCCGTTTGTTTGGTCATAGCACGTGAGCTTGCAGCTTAGGTCCGTTTCAAAAGAAATGCCCGACCAAGCCGTGCCTGCAGCTGCCTGGCTGGCGCCACGCGTTTTGACCGACTTGTCTGACGCCAAATTGCTACCGCTCAAGTTGCGGTATGTCAAGCACCAAGAGACCCTCTGCCCCTCGGCAAACTTGGGTTGGCCCGTACCAAAAAGCAGACGAGGCACGTCTCGTACAATGACTCTTGTGGGGACACTCAGGCAATACTCTTCTGACTCACGCTTCGGAACTGGAAAGCAGCTACTTTCAGTTGAAGGATTTTCTCCAGAAGGACCCACACTGCGCCTACAAACCCACACACACACACACCCTCGCCCACACACACCCACACAGACACACACGCGCGCACACACCTGCACGCACACGCACGCGTGCACGAGCACGCGCCGCCCGCACGCGCACATGCACACGCACACGCACACGCACACGAGCACACAAACACAAACGCACACATAAACGCAAACACCAAAACACAGACGCACGCACGCTCGCACGCATGCACGGACGCACGCACACCCGCACCCACACACGCACACGCACACCCGCACCCACCCACCCACCCACCCACCCACCCACCCACCCACCCACCCACCCACCCACCCACCCACCCACCCACGCACGCACGCACGCACGCACGCACGCACGCACGCACGCATGCACGCACGCGCACACGCACGCACGCGAACATGCACCCAGGCGCACGCATGCGCGCACTGGGAATGCCGTTTGCAGTCAATCATCAAACATTCAATCACGTAAGCAGGAGATGGCATGTTGCAAGTGAATGCTCAAAGGCAGTGGCTCTAAAGGGCCCTCCAGCTGCGCACGACGGGACCCAGTGGTAGCAGGCTCCTCAAGCAGATACGTTTCACGAGAAGCATGCGATGCGCGGTCTTCGTTGGCAGACGCCCAGATACCTTTCCTGCTGCCCCTTGCTGGCAAACACACGCGCGCACAAAGACACATAAACACACACAAACACACAAAGACACACAATGACACAACACACCCACGTGCACGGAAAGCACACACACAACCACACACACACACAGCCACACCCACCAACACGGACAAACCCGCAAACACGCGCAAACACACGCAAACACACAACACACTCACGAACACACGCAAAGAAACATTAAGCCCCACACACACATGCACACGCACGCGCACACAACACACGCTCGCACGCACAAACACAAAATACAAATACAAACGCGAACACAGTCCACTATCTCTCTCTCTCTCACTGTTCCAGGACGCAGACGAGGTGGTTGACAGCTGCTTATGGGCTGCAATCACGCTGGCCCAGCAAAGGCAGTCGCTGTTTGCAGAAGACAAAGTCGCAGCCGAAAGGCTTGTGAAGCCAAAAAAAGACACAAAGAAGAAGAAGGTGGGACATCCCTTTTACTTTAGCACATGGACTCGGATGGCCGCCAGGCTGACGATGAGGCTGCGGCGCTTGAAGGCGACTTGGATGAGGATGATCCTGCCATGGCCGAGGGCTGATGGGCGCAAAGTCACTAGACCAAGGGGTCCTGAAAGTGTTGAGCCTGTGAAGCAGCCTACAACTGAAACACACCTGCAAAAGCGGAAAGGTGGCAACCTATAATGCGTAGGGTGTAGGTGTAACCCGGAAAAACCAAGAAAATTCGAATGAAGGGGGTTGCAAATTTGATCAGATTCAACATGACAGGGGCTCCGTGACTGTTTGCTGCGGGTAGAACAAGAGCCGTGGTAGTTTTGGGGGACACCCTTGTTTTTTGTTGGACCCTTTCACGGACCCTCCAAAAAAAGCCTCTTTGAGCCGTGCCTTCGAACCGTGAAATCCCCGGGATCCCTTGGACGGAACGCAACAAGGTTTGAAGAAGTGTAGTCACTTTGGGGCTTCCACGTGTGCTACAAGCAAAGTGCGGTCTTTCAACAACAGATTTCACGTGCAATCCTATGTCCGCATACTAGTTTTGTCCCGTGCACCCTGAGCACACGTGGTACACGTGCAACCTGCACGTGGCTTACGTTTTGCAAGTGCAACGCACTGCAGGGGTTTGGCGAAAGTTGAGACAGCCTTGCAACTAACAAGGCAGCATCGCGGCAGAGTGTCAAAAATGTCCGCCTGCTTTGAGTTTCCACGGGCTGGAAAACCGTGTGCTTTGTTTGCTGGAAAGCGCTGAATTCCCTCACTCATTGAGCAATCTGATTTGCACCTATGCGCCTTGCACGCGCTGCTTTTTGCAACGTTTTCTGGCATTCCCAAATGGCTCGCTTTGGCGGGCAGGCCTTCAAGCTGAGCGAAGAGATGAATACCGGCGCAGTTTGGGGCTTCCAGTTGGGGAGGCGGGCCATCGTGTGCCCAACGGTGCCCCCCTTGGAACACCTACGCTGCAGGCTGCCAGGCCACGGCCATCGACATGTCCTCAGCTGCAGAGGTTGCAGGAGAACGGTTTGACACTAGAAGCCACGCTGATTTCCATCATGGCCGGTTTTCTTTTGGCTTACCTTCACAAACAAATTCCCACGCAGAAGGGTTTTTTGTGGATCAGCGGGGAATTTGTAAGGAGCCCTCAAAAAGCGATGACTTCCCTCCCTGGTTTAGCCTTCAAAGGGGCACCCTCAAGAGTGACATAGCAAAATTCCATTTCAGAGTTTCAGACTCTGTGAAGGATGTTCAGCCCTAGGAGCGGTTTCCCTTAAACAAGCCCTCCCAAAAAGACGTTTTTTCTCGAAGATTTTTGATAGGGAGTGGAACAGACTTCTTGGTGCACGATGGCCGGCCCTCCGTGACTTCCTCAAAGACACCCCATTCGCAAAACCATAAAATTTCCGCTCCCAACCGAAAGGACCCGCCAGATGACAGCTTTGCAGAAATGCTGCTGGAGTACTATGCCCTGGGCACAATGAGTGCCGCCCGGGAAACGGGGCAATATGCTTAGCACAGTTTGTTCGTTCATCGACGGGCGCAAGGCGCTGGAACTTTCTGCTTTTGGGTCCAAAATCAAAGGCGCTTCTATATAGGGCCCCGGGAAGCTTCAACATGTTTTGTTAAATATACGAAACAAGCATTTGAACCTTAAGAGTAGCTTGAGTGAAGCCTAGATGGGGGTTTCTTGAGGGTCCTGTTTTGTTGGTTCACATGGAAACTGTTGTCCAACCCCCCCCACCCACAATTTTGGTCCCTTTTCCCCAAAAAGTTAACCCTTTTTCTGGGTCCTTGAAGCCTCGTTTTGTTTTGTTGTCTTGTTCTTTGCACCGGTTTTTTAGGGGGAAACGAGCAAGACCCCATGGTTGGCACACTTTCTTCTGAGGTACAGCATGTTGCCCAGGCAGCCCTTGACTTCTGCAAGTCACGTGGAGGAGCTGTCCCTGAGTCAGACATGATCAGCAGGCTGGCCAAGACTGGCGCACGTGGGCAGTCCAGCAACAACTGTGAGCGGGACCTCCAACGCATTGTGCTGAGTTCCAGCAAGACGCTTGACGTTCAGATTGAAACAGTGCAAGTGCGAATGCTGTGCGCGAAGACAATGCAGAAAAAGTGGCGTTCATTGCCCTGCATCTTCCCGGACAAGCTTGCAGAAAGTGTTTTCCACTATAGTGAGTCTCTTTTCCGGCATTTGTTCCTGGGCACCGAAGTCGACGCAACGAGTTACTGGCAATGCGTCCGGGACAGGTCTGGTTGGTTCTCAAACCACACAGCAAGCACGGTTCCTCGCGACCAGTGGGACAAGCTCATCCCCATCTCTCTATACGGGGATGAAGTTCAGAGCTTTCGCAACACTGAGGGCGGCGTGGTTGCCTGTGTGGCGTGGACCCCGGACTTCGCGGTGCGCATGCCGACAATGTCGCGTTACTTTGCTCTTTGCGCATGGCCAGAGCACTACGCGTGCGCGGAAACATACGACGACTTGCTGCGGGCCTTGGCTCCGAGACTTTCGGCTATGTGCTCGCCAACAGTGGAGACCTTCGCGTGGCGCAAAAAGGGGTACAGGTTTGTTTACTCGAGCACGCAGGGCGATCTCAAATGGATCGCCGAAAAATACGGATTTCACAACTTCAGGAGCAACAGCTTTTGCAGCTTTTGCGAATGCAAGAAGGACGACCCTGACCCTTCAATGACAATCGGCGACTTCAAGCTTACCGCCAAGCACCTGCAGACAGAGATGAATCACGAGACTTTCTTTCAGCGGCTGGGCAAGGCGCCGGAAGAATTCAGCCCACTCTTTCTGATTGCTGGAGCACGCATGGATCGCATCGCCCACGACATTTGCCACTCTCAGTTCCTGGGAACTGGCAAGGCTTTGAACGGGTCACTTCTTACCTACTTGTGCGAGGCCAACGCTTTTTGCGCTTTTGGAGGTGGGAAGTATCAGCAATGTATGGATGCAGCTCTTCGCCACGCCTACAAGGCTTTTTGCGATTGGCAGCGTGCCCGCAAGCTTTGGGTGTCGCAGCCGCGCTTCACTGCGTCGCGCCTGCACCGCACTCTACGCACCGCGTACCCGCAGCTTTCTTCAAAGGCAGTGGCTGGCAAGACGATCTCTTACTGGTTGGCCGATGTGTGCGTCAGCTGGGCGCAAAGGCCGGCATCTTCCGATCTAGATCAGGCAGTCGCTGTTTGCGCGACCTCGTACACAAGTATGCTGCGGGCAATCGATGAGAGTCCGGTGGTACTGTCGCAGGAGCAAGCTGAGGCAGTGTTTCAGCACGGCGTGCAGCACCTCCAAGTGTACGCGTACTTGAACCTGCTCTCTGCCTCTACAGTTGGGTACCAGGCTCAGAATCGAGCTTTGTGGTTGCTGTTGCCCAAGCATCACCATATGCAACATATGGTGATGGAGTGCCGGCGAAGCCTGATAAATCCGAATTCGTTTAACTTGCTAACGGCTGAGAGCTTCATAGGAGTTATGGGGAGGGTGAGCAAGACTTGCCACAGGACATCCCTGTCCCTCCGTGTACTTGAAAGGTACAAGTTGCTTTTTTCCCTGCACCTTCGTCGCCTTGCGCGTGACAACGGCATGTGATTTGCCTGCGAAACCTGAACAAATCACAGTTAGAGGTTTAAGGTGAGGGAAAGAAAATTGCAAACTCAGCCCAGCCCCATTTGTACGCTCAGTGCCGACAAGGCGCAAAGTGACGGAGAGACGAGGTTTGCTGCCATGTGCCTTTTCCCAACCCTCCCAGCTTCTTGAAACATGGCCATAAGATGTAATCCAAACGTTGGTGGAAAAGGGCACATGGGTTTGACTTGGGAGCTGCAAAGCCGAAATGCCATAGGCAGGGCGAAGCGATCAAGAGACAAAAAAGCATGCTTTTTTGGGGCCTCGCAGGCGGGGGTCGAGAGTTTGGGGTGTGCTGGGGTGTCGGGGGTTGTGGGTGGATGAAGCACGAGACCCCGAATTGGTAGTCCGCCCCGTGGTGAATCGGGAGCCTTAGGGTAGGCCAGTTGATTCTTGGCTTACCTGCTTTTTCGACAATCCAGTCTGATTCACCAACACCTTCGGTCTAGTGCAATTGAAATAGCAAACATCCGTGGGGCAAAGCTTTTCTTTGCTCGACCACAACTGTTTGGACCCAGAAGGCAAAACATACAACCGCAGTGAAACAAACAGGTTCAGAACGTCGTGCGCTTTCTGCGGAACCCCAAAAACAAGACCATTCACTGGCAAATCACCCTTTCCCGTTGAAGAAAATACCCAATCATGTAACAACCCAAAGTTCACTTACATGAAGGAGCCTGGAAAACGAGATACCCGGATACCCATTAGTGGGATTCCCATCCCATGTGCATCACTGGAAAATTGAATTGGGCCACTCATTTCCTGCACCATCTTTGTCCCACTAAGTCTTCTCTTCAGAAAACAAACCTTTTAAAACCCAGAGGAAAGGATGATGTTTAAGCCAAACAGATGAGGGCGATGCTAGGTTGATTTCATCCGTCACAGCTTCTTCCCTGAAGATCATCAAATTCTAATCAGGCCAGTTGCTTGTTCGCTTTTGAAAAACACCAAGATGATTAAAACAAGAAACAAAAGCGGCCGTATGTTGTGTTTGTTGGCCCTGATGAAGCGTGCTTGTGAAGCTGCTTTTGTTGGTTGGCGCCTTTTCTTGACTTTGTGCGACCTCATGAAGCATCTGGGCCCCCCTCAAAAAAAAGAAGGAGTTTGCTTTGTCGAGTAAGAGCAGATTGTGGCAAAGGACCTTAGTATGCTGCGAAGATATCCCTGCAGCAATCCCTTCAAAGAAGTGCTTGTAAACGGCAAGAGCAACGCCGAAGCGACAACATGCTTGCATTCCAGGTCCCCCTTCCCTGGTTCTCGAATGGCCCAAAAAAGGTGAACTCAAAAACCTAGTTGATAGCCACCTGGGTCACGGTGTATGGTTCCCTTTTGAGAGAAGGCAACTGTCCGCATGCATTTTGTCAATTGCCCTCTCAAAACCCGAATCTGCCACAACATCTGTCCGGAACGCCAAACGATCGGCTTCGAACCTCAAGGCTGTAAGACCAGCCAAACATTAAACGGGTATTAAAGAAGCTGCGTGAGAAAACAAACGTGAACCAATAAATTGCCCCGGCCCCGTCTGAAGCCCTGTTTTCTATGGGGGAAAGCTCAAACATAAAATATGGACTCTGGTAAACCGATTTTCGCCAACCACCAACTGCAACCTATGTTCGGCCCCAAACGGCTGGTCTCATCTTTCAGCCCTGCCAAAGTCCCCTCGTCTTGGGCTGCGGCAAGTTGCGCTCACCGCGGCCGTGTGCTTTGCAAATTGGCTGCTTGGGAATCAGCTATGATTTGTCAAAGGTACCTCCTTCAAATTCCTCACAACTCTTGTGGTTTTTTTGGTCACTTTGCGGGGCAGAAATCCTGAAGCCGGATGTTCTGGCAAAAGCTGATGTCTTGAGACGCGCCCAAAGGGGACGCGACTCACTTCAGTGCAGGCGGAACTTGGGCGAAAGGACGCCAGCGGCATTTCACGTGCTTAACTGCTAGGCTTTGTTTCATGATGGAACTCACATTGACATGAGCCCCGTTGCCAAAGTGACATGGCGATCGCTTCCGCAGATCATTTCCTTGGCTCACAGAAAGTGGCAACCATTGGCAACCTGGTATCCCCGTGCCTCACTTAAGCAATCACGGCGAACCGTTTTTAATGTGTGAATGAGTCTGCTCGCCAGACCGATGGATATCGGCATTTTTTTTCGACAGGCCACCCTCCTGTTGGCGCACAGCATTGAACACCATAAACACGTCTCTCCAAAAAAGTCAAACAAAGCGATTTAAGGGGTCAAAGAACGGGTCCTCCTAAAGGGACACACGACCATGCCGTTGAACGACCCCTTTCTTGCAATGCAAACCGATCTGTTGTTTTCCTGCCCAAACTTTAGCCCGTGCGATCCGTGTTCGCTCCAAGGGAGTAAGACATGGCAACTAGTTCGTTGAATTTAACAGGTTTCCTACCTGAAGCAAAACACATTCACCACTAGGGAACTGGGCTTGCAGCATGCCTGAGCCGGCGGGAAACGAAGGTGGTTCTGCAAACACGCCTTCCCAACCAAGCCATGCCATGCCGATGTCAAAGCCGAAGAGGCTTGCGACCACAACTTTGCAAGTGAACTCGATGGTCCGCCCATCAGCATCAATACGTGCACGCACACACACACACACACACATGGCTGTGGCTCAAAAAAGTGGTACCAAAACGGCACCTTGATAAATGAAACCAAAGACTAAAACCCGCGGTTTGCCCCAGCTCTTTAATTTTGAGCCACACCCACATGTCAACAGCCGGCTTCCTTGTCGGTTCCGCTGGCCATGAGCAGCTTTCCCAAAAGCTGCTCAGCCGCCCTTGGAACCAAACAATATTCAATGCACTCTGCTTTGAACTAGGTGTTGCCTTGATCCCTAGATGCTAAACTTCTAGTGGGCTAGGTCATAAGCTGCTAACAAATCCGTAGTCTCAGTGTACGGCTGGGAAAAGCTTCTTTACTTGCCCACAATCCAGAAGCACCTCAGGGTGTAGCCCAAACCGCACTCGGAAAAACCCCGTAAGCAGCACAGCGATGGCCGCCTGAACAGTAGTCCAAGACCAGGAAGAGATGCCCCTGAGTCTGGAAGGCCCAATGCATTTGCACCACAAACCTCGGAGCGAGAAACGAGCGGACAGGTCCTCCAGTAGAGAGGTTACAATAAAAGTACCAACTTGAATCCGTAGTCCATTTTAGTACGGGAACCCTCCCCCAAAAAGGGTAAAAGGGCACTACTGGGGGACCTAGGACATCTTCATGGTAAAAGCGCCAGACCCATCTTCTCGGTTGGGCAAGGAAGGGCTTCCCCGTGCTTCTTGGTGTTGCTGTGCTCTTTTTCGTCCGATTCTTAGTGTTGCTTGACTTTGAAAGAAGGCCACACCCAGGAAACAGATACAAATGACAACGCCAAGGGCAGCAACAAAGGATGATGAAATTGGAAGCTGTGGGTCTTCATCTTTAGGAGCTAAGAACCAATATCAAACACATGGCTCCCAATGTCAATATCAATGTCTCCAAAAAGGGCACTAATTGTCACTCATAACACAACTCGGATTTAAGCAAACGGATTAATCAGATTCAGTTTATCTAACAAATGCAAAGGGCTCACGCTAAATTCAAGCAACGGAACTGACGAGCCTTAGCGGAAGTCCTAACACCCCTTTGGCAGATTGCAGGGCAATAGCCAAAGTAGCTCAGTTGAATTAGTTGGCTCCCAATCTCATAGACGAAAGCCCCACATTTCAGATGTACACATACCAAATCAATCCACTCTGCCCCTCCGGTTGGCCTCACCTTTTGGCAAACAAGGGTACGGGAATGCTTGCAAACCAGAGGCGCCCCGAACTGCGGGTTCGATGTTGGTCTCTTCTTGCACACATGGGGCCCCATTGCCAAATCCATCTTTTGGTGTGAGCAGTTCATCTCGGGAAGGCAACCGTCACCCATGGCTTTTTGTTCAAACCGGGCTCCCTTGCCCTCAGTTTTGTGTAACCCATGTTTGTTTGCACTTCGTGGGCCCCTCTTGAATGGGCCCCTTTAGTGCCGTGCTTTTCGAAAGGCATGGTGTCTTCAAAGCGGGAACCAGGTTGGCGAACTACCCTGTTGTCCAGTGGCCCCGTTAAAAAAGGGCTAGAAAAAGGAACGCCTTTGGCGGTTGATCAACTCGCGTTCTTCCTTGCATGCATGAAAACTAGCTCAAGTGATTAAAACGCGGGTTCCCCACATTCGACATGGACAGCGGAGAAAGGAAGCACAGACCAATGAGTAGCTACGCCATAGTTTTCGGTTGTCACCTTGCGGTATTTTTGCTGAAGCGCTGAGCCATCATGACTGAGGCTTCCTCTTTGAGCGAACGGGTTCTCCTCTGTGCGGCTAGGAGATGCAGGGGGGACCCTTTGAGTGCGAAACAAAAAACAGGAATACTCGTGACAAATGACACATTATGATGCATGAGTCGTTTTGTCCTTTGGTGAGTTCTCGCAGAAAAAATGTGTAAATAAAACTTCTCCATTGCCAAAGCAATTCGCTTCCCAATTCAGATGGTGTTGCAACTATATGCCTTCTCTACCAAAAGACAGGACTTGCCCTGCCACCCTTGGTTGAAACCGTATCTAGGTCCTCCAGCAGAAAGGTTAGAATAAGGGCATGAACTGGAATCAGTAGTCTTTTTTAGTAGGGGAACCCTCCCCCAAAAAAGGGTAAAAGGGCACTACTGGGGGACCTAGTCCCAAAACCATGCTTCCAAGTACGCATCCCGATCCCGAAACGCACCGATCCAGGGTCTCGGGGCTAAATGGAAACCTGCAGGTTCGGAGCAGGGAACGAAGTGACCCCGTGCTGAACTGTACATCCTCAGTTGCCCAGAAATAAAAGGTTAACCTTTTTTAAGAAGCCTCAACCCCCCCCCTTTACCCCCCCTGCTTTGGGCCAAATAGGTGGGAAGCTTCCCAAAAGCCTTGGGGAAGCTTCCGGAATCCTTCCGGAAGCCTTGCGGAAGCTTCCGGAAGCCTTAGGAAAGCTTCGGGAAAAAGGGGGGAGGAGATTGGGGATGAAACAAGGGTGGTCCCCCCAAGGCTTGCGGAAGACTTACGGACTTCTGAAGCTTCGGGGGAGCGGACGGGAAGGGCAGGGGACGGAGAAGGAAGGGG